GAGACAGCAAAGCTTTGATAGGGGACATCTGCACGGGATTCCTGCAGCTCCCCAGGCAGTGAAGATGCAGCCAGAAATGGTGAGAAGGGTGAGAAGGGCTGGCAAGTATGAACAGGGTCATACTGTCCAGGAGCCTTGTTTGTCTCCAGCTCATGGTGTGGCAAGTGTAGCCTTGTCATAACCCGGGAAGAGAGCAAGTTTGGAAATTCACCAGAAGAAGAGCTTGGCTGGAGACAGAGCTGTGCTAGGCTGCCACCAGCCTCATCCACACCATCCCTGCTGCTCCTCCAGGACCCTCACCCTGCAATACTGGACTGATCCCTTCAGCTCATCCATGTCTCCTGCTCCCTGCTGGGACACCCCAGCTCTGGGGCCACAAGTCCCTACACTCCCCTGCTGGAAACTCGAGGCTGGAAACACAAAACCCAAGACAGTCCCAAACCACGGAAGACCACCCTGGAAAGGAGTCAGGAGTGCTTGGGTCTGCACCTCAGGGGCAGAGGAACGCAGGGAGCTCTCCCCCAGGCCCTCTGCTCTTTGCAAGCAGCCTGGGGTAGGTGTGACTGGGGGATAGGGAGAGGGAAAGACATCATTTAACACTTCATTAGGTAACTACAAGGCATTGATCTGCCCTAGCAGCCTGCATGCTCTCTAATTGCGTATCTCCATTCTTATTAGTTCTATCGAAAAAGCAGAGAGCAGGACTCAGGAGTCTGATCCTATCTTTAGGAAATTTCAAACAGAGATGTAATTGTCGAGCGCTCGAAATCACGGTGCTTTATCCACTGTTAACAGTATTTTAAAGCCGTGGTCATCAATAGCAGTCCTCGGGATGAGCTCCCAGCAGATGCCATTAATCCTATTTTGGCTGTGGTCACCTGGTGTCTCTGGGCTCAGATTTACACTTGGTGACAAGGGACAGCTCTGCTTCCACAGCAGAGAGCACTCCCAGGCAGCTCCTGGGACAAGGGGTGCAGCACCAGGGGACTGGCAGGAGAGGCAGAGGGCAAACAGAGGAGCTCCTTAAACCAGCTTCAGCCCTTGCAAACATGCCAGCAGGTGCAGATGAGCAGCTCTGCACCAGGGGTTATTTCCTTCCCAGGACACAGACAGGCCCCCAGTCCAGAGCAGGCATGTTCATGGCCATGCAAGTGTCTGAGGAGGGCAAATGGCCTCAGTCAGGAATAAACCACAGTATTTACCACATCTGCAGAGGAGATGGATCTGGGTGGCACATGACGAAGACGAGCCCCTTGGTCTCTGCAGAGAGATGGGTCTCTGGGATCTTGGGACAGCTACAGCAGAGCAGCAGGTCCTTGGGAGGTGATGCCCCAGGGAGATATCAGCCAGGATACACACAGGGGACGGCTGCTCCCATCTCCACTAACCCACCCTGCAGAGACACACAGGCAGGTGGGAGCCACTGTGGGATTCAGACCTGGGGGGAAATTTCAGCGGCTGAAAAGTCTTGCAAAGCTGGAGGAGGAACAGATGATGCTGCAAGCTGCTGGGAGAGCCTTGCAAGCAGGAATGCTGCAGGAGGAAAGGAAACTCCTCTGTCAAATGCAAACCAGCAGGTGTGAGAAATCTGGGTGTGCAGGAGGGAAAAAGGACTTTGCATCACACTCTGTATCCTCGAAAGCCAGTCACCTGCCTCTGCTCATGCCTCCAGCAAAGGAGGGATTCCCCAGCATGGCCTTAACTGCTGGGTGGGTTGAAGAGGGGTTCTGTGTCCACCCAGAATGTTTCTTTGCCACTTCTGTGTAACAGACACAAAATCTGTGTGAAGGAAAGACTTGGTATGGGGAGTGGAGACTGGAGCATTCCTGAGCTCAGGACACACCCCGAGTCTCACAAGCCCTCTCAGTATTACAAAGCATCTCATGTTTGTGTGCTCAGTGCCTGTGGGCTCAGGTTTTAATTAAAGAGGAACCAGATACTATTTTCAACCTTCATTTATGCCATGCTGGATGCCACACCAGGGACCCTTTCAGCAGCTCAGGTCTGCTATGAGAACAGATGTGCATCTCTGTCACGAGCGAGTCCACACTGCGGGCACGTGTCCTCTTGCTTTGCCAGGGCAGGGCCCTGTACCCGAGCTGACCTCCATGGGAGGGGATGTCTCCACAGTGACTGTGGCCTTAGCACTCTGCTCTCAGCTGCCCATCCCATTCCATCCTATCCCATGGCCTGGCAATGGTTGCAGCAGAGGGGCCGAAAGCAGGGCATGGGGCTGGGGTGCTGTAGGTGGGTGCTGCTGCAGCACCACTTGCTCCACTTGTAGGCTGGGAACAACAGGATTGGAACTCCTGAGTAGCCACAGGTCATTAGTGCATCCTGGCCCCTGTGCACTGTTGGGAGGGCCCTGGCTGAACCCTGGAGCAGGGGAGCTCCAGCTAATTAGTCATTAATTGCTTCAGAAGGGAAACGAGCCAACCCAACCTCTGTATGCCTGTAGCAGAGTGACCTGCGGGCCCTGGGACACAGCCAGGCTGCACATCACTGAGAAATGGCTGAGGGTTCATCTGTCACAGCAGAGCTGGAGAAGCAGCCCAGTGCAGTGGATGTCCATCTCCTGCAGGCTCCCCAGCCCCTTCCTGCCCCCACGGGACTCCTGGGGGCTCCCAGCCTCTGGCAGCAGCTTGGCAAGGCTCTGAGCTGTGCTGCAGTGAGCGGCGAGCCCAGCTCATTTAATCTATTCAATTGGATTCAATTTCCAGCCACATGATTCAATTAGCCCTGGAGGGACAGCACAGAGAGCAGAGGCTGCAGAGCATGGGCCAGCCTCTGCTCCTGCAGCTGCTAAACTGGGAGAGGGCAGCACAGGACCCTGTGCTTGTTCTGGTCCTCCGGGATGTGCTGAGATGTTGGGGGCTCCAGGGGAGCCGTGTTCTGTCCCGGTGAGCAGGGGATCCTCTGGGCACAAGCTGCTGGTCCTGAGTGATGTGTGGGCAGCTGTAGGGCAGAGGCTGGGGAAGCCCCATCCTGAGCATCTCTCTTTGCCGTCAGACACGACCTTGAGAGCTGACAGTCACGCTGGGTCAGACTGGAGGTCTGCATCCCTGAGCACCTGTCAGGGTGACCCAAAGAAGCTTTAGGAAGACAACAGCATTCAACAATGCTCCCACAAGGGTGCTGCCTACCATATGTATTTGGGATCAACCCTCTGCTTGATCAGTGTCCCCCAGGGCACAACCACACTGCTGTAGCTGGGGAGAATCAGCACAAAGGACTCTCAGCAACCCAAGGGGCCCTCAGGTCCCACCAGCCTTGCAACAGCCCTTCTCTAGACTCCTGGTCCAGACTTCCATTCATCACTTATTTTTCTGTCTGCCCTACCCCTGAAAGCATCAGCAAAGGCATTAGTAAGTTGCCACCAGGGGAAAAGCACATCTTATCCTGGCCCCTTTGGACTGCTACACTTTCCAAAGCTGGGCTTTACCTCTTTCCTTTCAGGTTACTGCAATGGCTCATCTCCCAAAAAAACTCATCATACTTCTGTCCAGCACGACTCTCCTCATACCAACAAGTACCAAATAGCAAAACAGAGCCCCCAAAGAAGATGAGAATAAATACCCAAAAGGCCTCAGTGCTGACACCAAGACCTACTTTTGAGTGCCAAGAGCGAGCTGTAAAATTTACCACTGACTGCTGGCCACACATCGTCCCAATACACACAGCACCATTTGTGACTTGGCAGGGGGAGCAGCCACTCCCTCTGCCTGCCCTGTACTGGAATGGGAGCTAGGAAAGAGAGCAGCTCCACCCTGAGAATGAAGTGTGGGGAAGCAGATGGAGCACACTGGAGCTGATCCCCTGTGCAAGTGCTGTCTAGGAGACATCTCTTTCTGGGACTTCTCCTGATATCCACCATCCAACAGTGTGCAGGACCCCAGAGCAGGGAGTGTCCAATTCTTCAATCAGGAAGAGAAAAGCACCCCACAACAGATATCAGGACATGCTCACATGGAAGGTAGCTCCATCATGCAGAGGAATGGCCCCTGTGCCATGGATACGGGACCAGAGCAGGCAATAGCCATGACAAACAAGAGGACAAAAACGTTTGCAAACCAAACACAGCAGGTGGGCAAAGGTGCACCCTACCCTCCAGCTGCTGTACATGATATGGGGTTTGTTACTACCTGCACCTGGCAGCTCCAAAGAACAGACAAAACACCATTTGGAGCTGCTGGCCCATGCAGAGAAGACTCAGCTCTTGAGGAGCTGCCTCCCTCTCTAAAGTCTGCATGAAAAGTGGGACCTGTAAGAGCTAAGGAATAAAGAGATCAAAAATCACAGTGGCACTTACAAAACAACTCTTGGTAACTCTCTCCAAAGTTTAGCTCAAATTCAATTATCTTCCAGAACATTATTTTGTAAAATATTTGTCTCCCTGCAGCTGCTGCATAATTTAAAGGTAGCAATCTGATTTCTCCCCACACACCCCAAGCCTCAGAAACAGCTCTTCCAATAACAGACAGAGTTATGAATTAGATATAACAAAATACACTCACCTGCTCAGATCAGATACAGAAAAGTTTGAGGCTGTCACACACATCCTGAAGCTGAACATTAAGATTCAAATTACTTTCTGCTCAGTTCAAGCTGGCCCCAAACCACAAACAGTAGTAGGGTGTTTAACAAAGCAGGCAAATGTGCAGCAGAATCTATGAGCAGGAGTTTGCTGACACCAGCAACAGAGAGCATCACACCACACACATGCAGGTCCCCGCACCCCTCCTCACTCATGGGCTGCCAGCCTTGCTCAGTTTCCTTAGAGCCAGCCACAGGGACACATAAGAGGAAGAGGGATGCTGACTACTGGATGGTACCTGCAGAGGACCAAGGATAAAGCATCACCTCTCTCTGCACAGGCAGGAAGAGCCCAAGGGCAGGTGATAGCCCTGCTGCAGCCAGTGTGCCACCAAATGGTGACAGGGGCACTCCCACAACCACCCCACTCTCCCTCCTGTGAAGGACAAACACTGCACACTCCAGACAGGCGGGGCTCTGCTATTTATTGAGCTCTAGGTTTGTATGTACATCCACTTACAGTGCTTGGTTCAGTGACAGTGTGACGAGAGGACAAGAATCACAGTCTTCCCCAGCTCAGACTTGGATGAGGGCTGGGCTCAGGAATGGATCTCACACACACCTGGGCTTCTATGATCATCCCAGCAAGGGAGCATCCTCAGGGAGACAGGATAGCTGAGCCCAGAGTGAGAAGCTGAAAATTCCAGAGGTTGCCGAGTCAGAAGCAGACTCATCCCAAACTCCCTCACGTATGTGTCTAGGCTCAGCCTAAATGGGCTCAGAGAACAGCTGAGGAACAGGCATGAGGACAGCTGGACGACTCACAATGCTCCAACAGTCACAGTTCTGGGGTTGCACCTCAAGTCCCCTTGAGAAGGAACTCCCCTCTCAGAGTGAGATCCCTTTCTATCCCCTCCAGACAAGCACCATGTACTGCAAACAACTGTTCCTCATTTTCCATTGGAGAAGCTGCCTGTTCTACGTGCCCTAGCCTGTTCTCAAGCCGTGATTTTATCTGCTTGCTCTCCTAAGCACTGACCCTCTGACACATACACATTCCCATACATTTGCATCGCAGAAAGCAAATAAATGTCTGGCTTAGCTGTTAAAAGCCAGACAATTCCCTGCTGAGGAATAGTATCATCTGCTGAGAGAAGCCAGTGCTCCCAAGGAAAACATAGGGACTTCATCGGGTGTTGTGCCCAGTGGGTGGCCAAGGACACAGCTTTCAGTTTCCCATGCTCATAGCAGGTAAGATGAAACATTAACACAATTAACACACATTAGCATGAAAGAAGCCTTGCCTAAAAATGGTAGTAAATGAGCATGACACCCACATTACTCACACTAACCTACAAGGCTAAGAGCAGGACTAGGCATTTTTTTAAAAAAACACCTGTTTTCTAGGGGGGAGGGAAAAAATCTGTGGATCTAGGATGCAAATAACTTCTCTACTTCAGTCTACCAAGTCAGGCCAGATCCTAATATCACAACATCACTGCTGGGAGCTGAAATTGCATGAGCAGGGAACAGGGGTGGAACGGGTGTTTATGCTGTGTATTCCTGAGCTGGGAGCCTGACACAGCACTCTGAACAGGCTCTGCCAGATCTGGGCACCTCTGAAGTATCAGCTCTGGGAGCAGAAAGGTCTGGCTGTGCCCCACAGCATCATCCCAGAGCTCTTCCTTAGGAAGCCCTCAGCAGACAGTGGCTGTAAGTTGCTTGGTGAAGACAGGAGGGCAAGAAAGTGAAGTCACTACTTCTCCAGATGCATTTTAATTGTGTGCTACACACAAGGGAAAAACTGGAGACTTCTTCATTTATGAAGGTCACCAGGCACTTGCAAACATGTGCAAGGCAGATGTTCCTGTGAGGAAGAGGAGGATTGTCGCAAAGCAATGGGCAAAATTGCTCTGATGGGCAATAAGGTGAGTGGGGAGAAGGAGTCAGCCTGTCCTCTGCCCCAGTGAAAACCAAGTATCTAAAAATGTCCATCTACCTTAGAAACGGTGGATGAGCTGAGGCTACTGGAAGCAACAGTGACCCTAAGCAGAGCTGGTCTCCAATAACAAAGTGCTTTGTTTGATGACCCAAATTCTTGTATACCACACTGGACCCTGTAAGCCAACAGTCTTGGAGGCAAAGTTCCCCCTTCTCCAGTAATCCAATGGCTTGAAGTGACACCTTCTGATATAAGGAGACAGCAGTGAGCAAGGCCTGCTCCTTGGGGAAACTCTTATAATCCAAAGTCATTCCCAACGTGGAATCGACATACATTACAGGTGGACAGGTTGACCCAGGCTGACAGAAAAGAACAGCCCTCACCTGGGATCAGACAGCTTTCCCCATAGAGCAGGTGAGCAATCTCTACCCAGAACAGTTTCACACAACTGGGCTGGCTTTATTACTTCAGTTGTGAGCTCACCCCAGCTCTGCTACAAAGGTTTCCAGTGCATTTTCCCTGAGGCTGTGGAGGGACTCTCCCATTACTATGTCACAGGAATGGCTGCCCACTCCCATGGCACCATAAAAAATCGCTTCCTCCTTAACACGCCAATCACCTCTCCTCAGCCCAAGTTTAAACACATTCCTTTGGGATCAAACACACAGCAGCAAGGCGTTCCCCTAAAAGAAACACAGTCCCTTCCAAAGGCAGGAGGCAAGGGGCGACCGGCCGCAGAGCTGGAGTGTCCCTGCCCACACGGGCCCGTCTCTGCCCAGCCGGCGCAGCGGCAGCGATCCCCCTTCAAGAGATGGTGGAGAATTCCTTCAGCAGCAGCTCCTGGCTCAGCGTGTTGAAAGCAAGGTTCTTCCTCACATTGATGCTGATGGAGCGAACCTGACAGAAACAAAACAAGATGTTTTAGCCATGGGACTCTTCCTGGCTCTTCATGAGCCTGGTACTTTTGACACTGCTGACTCCATGCTCAGCATGAAGCTGTTCTGCATTTACAGCTCCCCAGCAATTGCTGCAGCAAGCTCTCACTGGAACTCCAGTCTAGCAAGGAAATGCTGAGGTTCAGCAGTTTCTTGGAAAAGCAGGAATGTCTACAGTGACATCCCAGCAAGGAGAGTAAATACCCAGTGAGACAGGGATGGGAGAAGATGCTTTGCATGGATGCATGAGCTATGATGTGTTTCTTGTTCAGGGGCAAAGAGATGGGGAAAGTGAGCACTCCCAGGCTGCAGCTTAAAGATCATATTTTATCAATGCCCACTGGAGTACCAGCAAGCATTTCCTGGATTAATACAGTGCCATGGCTTCTGTCCTGCTCCAGAACCCACAGAGCCAAAGATACAGACTGAAGGAAAGGACAGAGGCCATGCCATTATGCTGTAAACACAAATTATCACCCAGGCTGGCAAAACCTCCTGGGTTCAGAGCTGTGTGTACTCCGAGTGCTGTACATGTGCAGCTGGCTCACTGTCTGTCTCTGAAGAAGAGACACCTTTAACCCTCAATGACACCCAGACTTCTGGTCACCCACAGAGCACAAAGAAGAGCTGGGCAGCCCTATTGACAGCAGCTTCCCTTCCTCCCTCCTGCCTGCAGACTCGTTGGCCAAATACACAGGCCCCAGACTGGGCTCAGTCTCAGCTGCACTTGGCAACGAGAAAACAAAGTCAAACATCATCTGTGTCAGCGACTATGCAGCAGTGACAGAAAGCAAAACTGACACAAGCTCATCCAAACAACAGGATTACAGTTCCCAGAGACTCAGAGCCTGTGATAATAAGGTTATTGCTGACCTGGTTCGTGTTTTGTGCTTTATAAAAGTACTGGGGGGAAGAATTATATAGATGCATAATGAGGAATCCAACACTGGGGGTTGGAAGAGCACATATATATATACACACACACACATATATATATATATATATATATATATATACATATATATACTGCCGAGGGTCCCACTTGCTACCCTGGTGAGAAACACACATGGAAAGGGCAGAAAGCTACCCAAAAGTCAGAATGTGTAAGAGAGGGAAGGAAATCAAAACTTGGAAGGTTAACTGGGAAAGATGTGAAATGAACCCCAGTGAGGCCCATTGCAACCTGAGCACACCAGCAAGGATGTCTACCTTAAAAGACAAAGTACTTAAGTTTTATGTCATCTGCAGAAACCACAAACTCTCCTTCATCAGGATGCCTAGCAGAGAACCCAAGCATCTCTACTCCCTTGAAGCACCCCTTCAACTCTCTTCTTTAGGTGCATTTTACTTACTGCATCCTCAAATAGTTTGGGACCACGTCTTGCAAGATAACCACAGCTGCACCCTGTGTTAAACACCACTGCAAGTGGTCTCCAGAACATTGGTTGGCACAGGGCTGTCCTGCTGCCAGGAGACAGGAGTCCCACTGACAGGATTTGGTCCCAGCCCTACCAAGTGCTCCTATGCCAGTGATCCAGTCAGTTCTTACAAGAAGGAAAAAACATGAATAGCAAGCTGTGGGGAGCTCTCTGCCCTGGGGAATATGACTGCCTGAAGAAAAGGGGCAGATACTACAAGCAGTGTAAGCCAGTACCCTTATTCTGACTAAAAGCATTTCTGTGGGTCCCAGCAACATAAAGTACAAGCAATAATGAGCTCCTGGCCTCAGGAACTGCTGCCAGGAGTCAGGCACCAGCAGCAGAAGATTCCCAGCTTGTACACACATCAAGGTCTCCAAGAAGGAGTCTCTGGAAGCCCAGAAAGTGAGGCTGGAGTGGCACAATGAGAACACAGGGCTTAGCAGAAATTTTAGCTATGGGGTAGAGCACAAGAAATTAATTAGCCTGATTAGTTTGCAAAGAGAAAGAGGAATAGAGCAAACACACTCCATTATGTAAAATGAGGTCAGAAAGAGAACAGTGAGTAATATTTATCTGGCTCCCCAGGGATGGGGCAAGAAATACTCAGCCTAATTTAGACAAAGAAGATTTACACAGGAAAAGAGGAAATACTTTTAAAACCTATGGACTGTGAAGTGGAGGAGCTCACCTGAAGCTACAGTGGAGCTAGTTTCATTTAAAGACAGTTTCAGGTTTCAAGAGAAGCTTTAGACACAAACTTTGGTCAAGAGCAGTCTAGATGAACGTAGATCTGCCTTAACACAAACTGGGGAGAAGAGCGGGCATGATAACACACGAATGACGTTTACACAAATCTCTGCCCAGCATTTCTTCTGCTGTGAGAAATCAGGCAGCTTGAGCCAACCCGCTTAAAAGGTAAGAATAGCTCAAATTAAAGTTAAATCAAGTTATCTCCAGCACCAGGGCTGGAGATATGAAGCATGGGGAACCAGAGTTCATCTCCCCTTTGGAGCTGGAAGACCAGACAGTTAGACTGGGAGGTGTCAGTCTGTAACAAGGATGAATTTCAGAAGCTTCCTGTAGTCTACCTAAGCTGCTCCATAAGGATACACCCCCAGGAGCCCTCCTGGCTCTTGGTGCAGTGGGCAGCCCCCAGGCCTGGCTGCCAGCCTGGAATTTACCAGATCCCTCCAGAATGGCTTACACAAAGGCCCCAGAGCTGCAGAAATTAAGGTCAGAGCTTTAACATTCATTCTGCTAGGAAGTACAAGCAGAGCACATGTCCCCTCTTGCTTCTGTATGGTGTATCCTGGAGAATTAGGGCCAGAAGAACTTTAAAATTGTTTTCTTAGTTTTAGTCTACGAACATTGAAGAAATGGGAAATGCATGAAATGCTGACATCACCTGTGGAAGGATGAGTAAATGAAAGAATGGATGAAGCAAGGGCATTAACCATGGGGGGGAAAAACATGATTAAGTTCTGGTTTTGTGTCATTAGAGCTGGAAGTGTGCAAGGTTGTACCAAGACTCCTATTTCACAGCAAGTCTCATCAATTAAACCTACTCCTAATCAACAAGCAGTCCTTAAATTATTTGTACAATGGGAAGGTTTACGTTGACTACTGCACTTAATTAAAAGTCAAATTAATATAATTTCCCCTGTAGAAATCAATCCCTAATCAGACTATGTTGAGGCTGATGAAACCTAACTGCAAAGACAGTGAATGTTTTAGAAAGATGCTGAAATCTCTTTCCACACATTCCTCCAGCTGCAATGTGAGGGTCCAAAAGCTCACATCCAAACCATTCATTCTATCAAAGCAGCACAGACCTCAAATGACATCCCTGAGGCTTCAAAGGAAAATAAATAAGAAGTGTTAGAAAGCTTCCTAACTTCCTTCCTTTAGCCCCTCAAAGGCAGCACAACATGCCAAAAAACCCAGCTGATAAAACAATCTGCACATCACCTTCCACCACAATGTGGCCGCAGTATCGCAGCCTTTGAAAACCTTTTTTTAAAGGGAATGGGAGAAGAAAGCAGATTTTTCTTTGGGATTAGCAAGAAAGAGCAGCACTGAGGCAAAGCAAGAGAAGTGAAGCAGTGTATTAGCAAAGCAGGTCAAAGGAGTGAGAACAAGATTTCTAAGCATAAAGGAGCCCCCAGAATGGCTTGGGGAAGCTTCTGCTCACCTACTTAATGGGAGCAAAGAGAGATAAAAAGGCAGCTGAAAAAGGAAAATGTCTCCTCTGTGTCATACCCCACCCAAGAAGGGTTTGCTTTGATGCAAACATTTACAGATAGTGATGAGAAAATCTGGAAGAAAGAATTATTTGCAAACAGATCCTGTCCAGGAAGACCTGGATGGAATCAATGTGAACTCAGAAACCTGTAGTTCACCACCAGCCCTGCTCCTTTGGCACAGCCCACAAAGAGAATTGCAGCAACTTTCCTCTGTCCCCTCCACAAAATCCTGCATACCTCAGAGGTTAAACACAAAGCACTGGGTAGGGGGATATTATCCAACATCAGACCAGCAACAGAAGCTGAAGTAAAGACTCAAAAGCTTCACAAAAAGAAAACAAGTACCTGGTTTGAAGGGGCTATGGGAAGGACAGGGAAGATTAGTTTTTGATGAGTTGTTTGAACAATTAATAAAGCCATCAGTTACTGTGCACCAAGAGAAAAAACAGAGCAAGGAGGCCGGGAGGCCAAGTGGATTTGCTGAAGACAAATCATAACGTATCAGGTTCATTTCCCTCTGTGTTGAGGGAACGGCTTAATGGAATGCAGGGGATTTTCTGTAGCTGTGAGTAAAGAACATTTAATAGGGTCCCAATTCTCAGGGCATCTAGAGATGTGGATTAAACAGATTCACAACTGGGTCAAATCAGCACATTTATACAGTAATTATTCAGGCTTTTATATGCTCTTGAGGAGAGGGTCCCAGGGGTACCTGGATGGGCAATTTTCAGAAGGGAGTTGACGGGCTGGTTACGATAAACAGATTCTTAAAAGATACAAAATTGGGATTTTGAAAAAAATAGGAAATTGGTCTAGGAAGAAAATAATTTTAGCTGAAGTGTTTTGTGGCTGTGATGATCATAGGACTGAGAATGTAATTTTAATCAATTGGCATGATTGGTCTGAGCTTCTGCCAGGCCAAGTGGAAAGTGGGACATGCAGGAAGCAGAGCAGTAATGTGGCCAAGGGGAAGAAGATGTTGGCTGAGGGTGAGAACCCTTGGGATAGAACAGATCACAACAGAAACAGGAATATGTCTTATTTCCAGGGTACAGTAATAGAAGAAGCCTGTGTCACAGGAAGGTTATGGCCAAATTTCTTTGCATGTATTCCAGGAAAGCTGTGTCAAACAGCAGGCCAGACAGACAGAAACAGGCACAAAAGAACACAGAAAAATAGCATAGAAGCAATTGCAAGTGGTTTTGCCTATATACTGCCCAATGTCAGGGCTGGAATGACCCCAGGAGTTAAAAGTATTCTGTAACAGGAAACAAAACCAATTCAGGTGCCTGTTCTGGAGCAGAGCTGACAGAGGGATGCACAACAACATGCCCAAACTCATGGAGACTCGTGACAGAGTAGGAAGGCATCAATTACTCATCAATCAGCAGGGACAGAGCTGGGAGAAAGAATCAGTTCTCAGACTGGTGAAGGTTGTCAAAGTAAGAGATCCCTCCCTTTGGTGAAGCTGTAATGATTCAAGAGTGAGGCTTCCCTCACACACCAGCCACTACAAAAACACTTCCTCCACATTCATGTGGCTGTTGGACAAGAAAAGTTCCATTAGGGCTCTCTGGAGCAGAGTAACCAAGCTGGCTTGCTGAAGAATTGTAACTACCAGCCTGAATTATTTAGACTCATTTTTGTCTTTGCTCTATAATTTTTGTGGGTCTTCCTACCATCCATCTTCTCCTCTTGCATACGGAGACATTTCTAGGGAATGCCTTCACTTTCTTTGCTTGGAAACCCTTTTTTGTGAGTGATGGAGGAAAGCAATGAGCAGGAAGGCATTTCACCAGTCCCAAACTTCATAGTCCCCTTAACAGCAACAAAAAAGCAAAGTTGTTCTGTGTGATTAATCCCAGGTGGGAGCAGTCAGCTCAGTCAGCTTCTCCCCATACAAATTTACCACTGCAAAACACAGCAAATCCCCATGGCAAAAGAGACAAGAGACCATCTGAGCAGTGCTGGCCTAAGCAGCCTGGAGGTTCCTTTTCAGCCACACAGGGAGCTCCAGGAAGCTCTCAGATCTGTAAAGACATGCAGTATCTGTCCAGATCCTGCTCCGGCCCTGTCTTTGGAGGCAGTCCAATGCAGTAACAGCACTGCTCAGCTACACCCCAAATACAACTGCCCAGGCCACAAGCAAAGGCTCTGGAAGAGGGCTGTTGACTGTTCAGAGCCAAGGCAGCTTACCAGCTCTTTGAAGAAGGCAGCCTCCTTATGCTGCTCTGAGTAGCGCTCGTACTGGTCCAGTCCGTCCTGCAGCTTCAGGGTCAGCGTGTCATAGTTGGACCGTACCACCTCCAAAACCTGCCAGAAACAGCCAAACACAGCAAAGGAATCAGTATCCACAGACTCCTCAGCCCAGGAGGAGCAAGGCTGAGATAGATTACAGCTCTGGCACCTGTTTTCACAACAGTGATGGCTTTAACAGACAATATTTGGCTCATGATTAACAACATGGAGGTGGGCACTAAAGTCCTCCTAATGCCAAGGAACAGACCCAAAATTTACACAATTTCTCCATTCATGAGAATGGTAGATGGAACCTCTATCCATGACAGCAGCAGCTTTCTGTCATCAGAATTAGACATATTAATAAATCAAGCAGCTAATTACCACACGTACACCCAGATGCAACACAGAAGCACAATACAAACACAGATTTGTCCAGCCCCAGGGTCCTTCCAAGGTTAGTTTTGCCACCACAGTTCCCTCCTGGTTTGTTAATCACCATTCACAGCCCACTACATCACCAGCTTCTAGAGCTGCTCAGGTCAGCTTCCACACAGAGCACTGCATGTCTCTCCTGAAGGCAACAAGCTTCTGACACATGCTAAGAGAAGACCAGCCTTGGTATGGACTCTGCTTTTAGAAAGACATGAAGACATGAATCCAGGTCTTTCTGCCCAGGAGATGCTTTACTATCGGCCTTCACTGCAACCAAAGCCGTTCCAGCTTTTACTACTGCCCTACTCTGCTCCCAGTGTTGGGCTATACTTGCAAATTCATAGTTACACATCTCTGTCCTACTGAACGATTCATTTTCCTAACTAGGGAACGGCAAGAGGGACTCCCACTATGATTTTTAGCTTTAAAGCATTGTGTGGACTGACGTATTCCTCAAAGCATTTGTGACATGGTTACTGACAATCATCTTCCTACAAGGAACCATAGAGGTCAACACTCCTGGGCAAACTTATGCCTGAAATGATTCTCCTAAACACAAGAACTTCATTCTTAGGCTGTTGCCATTTGATCTGAGAGCTAAACAGAGTATCAACATCTGAGGTTTGCACTACAGTAACCCCTGCTTATCACAAGCTTCAGTCAGGAAGACACATAATAAAAGATGCAAAAGAAGAGGACCCTGCTCCAAGTCATCACAATTCAGAAAAGATCCTAAGAAGAGCATTGCAGAGGACTGAAGACAACAGTGACCAGAAAAACAAGGAGCCCTTGCACTTCTCTTGTACTCCCAAAAATGTAAGCAGTACTCTCAACTGCCCCTTTAGGCAGCTGGCAGCTCCTGCCCTTTACAGGACTGAATCTTGTTCTTACATCCTTTATCCTAAGAAATCTAAAGTTGCTTAGAGTTCCTCCAAAAACTTGTTCCCCCAAATTCTGCATGTGGCAGCAGTGACACTCGTGCTAGGGCCTGAGGTGGCAGAAGCTACAAAGAATTATCCAAATGAGGACTGGGGGCAAAAAAGGGTTTCCAAAGTAGTTCCCAGGTGAGATGGTCTCTGCAGTTCAGCTGTCCTCCAGCACTGCAGATACAAGCCAGGGACAGGAATAAGCACTTGGACTTGAAGGTCTCAGAGGCCTTTTCCAACTGCATTGATTCTGATTCTGCAATGTTATTTAAGAACAGCTTGCCAGTGTTGCAAAGGCTCAGAGCCTCCTCTCCAGTACTCATTTCCTAATGCTGTTTTGTTTGTCAGCTCCACTGGCAGAAAGAATCCCCTGCAATGACATCCATCTCCAAATTCAGCCTGCCCTTCTTGCTCTTGTGTGCAGAAGCTACAAGAAGTATTGCAGAGCCAAGAGCAATGATGAAAGAAAGCCACCTGGGCACAGGAATAACTATCCACTAGGGACGGAGTGTAATAGCATAACACACCTTCTTCTGAGCAATAAAAGATCTGGCAGCTTGCTCCTGTCAATCAGAGGAAGCCAAATTGACCAAGATTAATAAGCTGCAGAGGAAGAACCTCGTTTGAAAGGTGAAGAGTTGAACAGGCTTCTCCAGCAGTAATTCAAGAGCAAAGGCATTTTATTCAGGGCTACCTGACTCCCCAGGAACCTTCCCTTCAGTCTCCTTGTATTCCCCCACACAAAGGCATACACAGTGCCACACAGCTGTGATCAATCAATGGATGCACATGTTTCTTTAGGAACAATCAGGATCCCTCCTTGCTAGCTCTGAGTAGAGATCTGTTCAGATACTCAAGAGGCATCCTCAAACCATGGTGAAGAGAAGTAAACTCTGAGGCCAGCAGTGAGCTCTGTAACCAGAATCCTTTAAATCTGCCCTCTTGCATCACCTTTGAAAGGCAGCCAAAAACTCAGTTTGATACTTTAGGATGAAGACAGGGAAGTAAAAAGAGGCCCCAAAGTCTCTACTCTGTTACTTACTGTAATCTCTGCAGTGAGCTTGAGATCAGCTTATCCCTTCAACTATGTATTTCATTGGCTTCCACTCCTTATCTCCTTTAATTATGAAATAGAACTTAAAAAGAAAGGGTAAGTTAAAAATAAACAGCTTCTCCCCACTGCCTGATAATTTCCCTTTCTTGCTGCTGCTGAGAAAAAAATGCTACGTGGGATCTGAGATAAACCCACTCACAGATCATTTCAACTTCATACCTTGTAATGGATAGAAACTATTACTGAGATTAGGACCTGCCATCCTTGAGATGATTTCATCTGCTCTTTAAGATGCAGCTGCTAGACAGAGGACAGGTCAAAGAGCAGCAGAAGGTATTAACAGTAACTAACAGGAAGGTTTAAAAAGCATCAACTCCCTACACAGATGACAAAAAAAATTCACATCCTCTGTGTAATAGAAGACTGTGTGCTAGCATCATTTGCCCTTCTTACACATTGCTTTGACTTTTGCTCAGGAAAACTACTGCAGGAAGAACAGCCTTTTTCCTTAAACACACAAGATCTTTATCTGTACTTTCTGTCAGATACAAAGGAACTAGAGCAATTTACTTTTGAGATTAAAGCATTTCTCCTTCAAAGTCTTGTTCAACCCATTCTTCTTGGAAATCTCTTGTCTAGAAAACATGAATTCCAAGATGGTCAAGTATGAGAAGGGACTTTAAGGAAAGGACTTTTAGCTTCTCTTCCAAACAGATTTTAAATAGTCATCCAGATTTTTACAGTCTCATGAGAGGCTGGAAAAACACCAGCTTTAGTGTCAGGAAAGGACAGACAAAATCGGACTGTAGATGATCTTCAAGGAGCTGGATGTGACACCCCTCAGACTGCAAGGATAAACATGCAGGGGAAGCTTTTTTTTTTTTTTTTCCAAATTGTTTACTGAATCTTTACAGTGAAAAAAACCCCAAACCCTAATGGAGTCACAATCTCAAAGTCTTTTTGTAGGTTGCCTTAGGGGGGATCAGAGTCTTAAAAAAGCAGTATGACGGAAGCAAGCAACTCAGACACGGTCAATACAAGAAGAGCGAAGGCTGTTGAATTCCTGCAGTTACCTGTATCAGCCCCAAAGGCTACATTTGCTCATTTTTTTCACTGCAACAAACCAGAACTCAGTGGAGCTGCACCACTGTAATTTAAAGATAATTTGCCATCAAATTAACCCCCTGCCCCACCACTCACTCACTGACTGCTTTCCAGAAGTTCCAGGGAAATGCTGGAGATTCAGGTCCCTGAATGCGTGTCCCCAAACCAACTTTTCAGGAGCTGCTCTGAACGGCAAGTGCTTTTTCTGACATTCAGATTTCAGCTTCCTCCTGCAGCTGTAACTGCCCATACCCCATAAAACTCTCCTTCCTCAGTAACACCGACTACTTCTGAGTAGAGGCATCCCTTAAGAACATAGCTGGAGGGTTGGCTCCCAAAGGAGGAACTGATGTGGGGCTCAGCTCTCTGCAACATCCCACCCATGCCATGCCAGGTCACTGCACCCAGAGGAACAAGATTGTTTCACTGTCTGTGGCTCCTTACTTTGCTCCATCCACCATCTCACCATTACCTTGCAAACTGGATGGACAATATTGGTTGGGTCAGTGAGCTCTTGTGAACACAAGCTCTGAAACCATTTCCCCCAGAAGCAATTGCCCCTGCCCTGAAATTTTCAGCATCCGAAACAGACCATAATTTTGCTGTACTAGTCACTACGCACTGACTTCTTCCTTAGTGCACTAGAGCTGTTCCCTCTGACTGGTCCTCAACAAGAGCCAACACACTGCACTCCCCCAGGATAGAGTGGTCCTGTCCTGGGAAAACACAGGGATTACATGCAGCATTCTCCCATCCCCACTGTGCCCAGGAAAACACTGCTGCTGTTAGCAGCAAAGCCACAGTGGGAGCTGCACCAGCAATAAAACCTAATGGGCAACATGCAGCTCTAGGGCCCATCTATCTGGCAGACATAATTTGCTTCATTGCTTAGTAACTTTTTAACCTGCAGAATCTTTCATCATCTGCATCTGCAGTCTCTGTCTTAATGGAACATAAAATTAGATAGTACCAGCAATTCACAGTACCCAGCAAAGGACCCGGTGGTGGGTAGGTTCCAGGAAGCATGCACAGGTAATGACAGAAAACTAAAAGGAAAAACAGAAGCAAGAACAAATCAAGGTCCCTACACTGTCTTTTTAATCAGCACAGGAAAGCACAAGAACGCAATCAGTCAGCATCACCAGTACCTCACTAAAGCCTCTCAGTGCCCATAAGACAGTCATTAACTACCATGACACAGGAGAAGTTGGAACAGCACTGATTGAATGATTTCACATCAAACAGAAGGCAAAACACCACCCCAACAACACCCAGGTTAAAATGCACTTGCCCCCTCACCAACTCCCTGCTGCTCACACTGCTGGGGTGGGGAAGGGTCTCCAGGACAGGAGCAAACCCCTACAGAACAGAAAAGCCAGAGCCTCTGTCCTGTCTGTTCCATGCCGGAGGATGGAGCAGACCGTCTATAGGGCATGAAATGCCACTCCTGCACAACAGGGTAGAAGGACCAAGGGCAGCCAAACATGCCTTCTGTCCACCCTGCGGAGGTGGTGGAGTGCTTGTCACCACCTGTGTGCCACACACAGAGGGAATTT